TTATCGAGAAATCCTTTACAATATATTCTCTTCCTTAAAAGTAGTTTAAAATTAGCTTACGCAACACTGTTACGCATTGTTCAATAGCAATACTGGCATCACATATAAATATTTTTGACATGGACGGACTTATTTTTAAAAGGTGAGTTGTTTTTAAGTATTGTTTTTAATATAATTATTATATTTGTATAAATTTATAAAACTTGTCTTCAGGTTAGTTGAATAAGCATATTCCGAATTTCATATGGGTGCTTAATTGAACCTTACGATTTACTGTGAAAAATATTTATTTTTTACCACAGTTAAAATCAGGCATATACCTATATAAAATATATATTAATTATTCTGGAATTTGCTAATAATAATCGGTCCTTTTAGAATATGTAAAAAAATTAGCTGATTTTATTTTGAATAAAACTATGGTTTTACATAAAACCAATATTTTTGGCACAGTTTTTTCATAAATTAAAAGATAACAGCAATATGCAACCATTTTCCATCCATCGGCCATCTTGGATTTCAAAAGAAACTCACCCGCAACAGTTGCCGCAACAAAAGTGTTAGTGTATGAACCAGCTCTAATATTGTACTCATAAAATTTTATTATTAACATTATTGCCTGTGGAATTAAGTTGTAAATAGTAATTCGAACGTATTTATCACGTGCATGGTGATTATTAATTCTATTTAATAGGAGTGAAAATATAACTTACTTATCAATAATATAAAGTTAGGAACATTTTTCTAAAAATGCAAAATAGTGCTGGGCTTGAAGATTTACGTTTTCTTATGAAAGCACGGTGTCTGGAAGCTTACATTGTGCCGACTGAGGATTCCCATCAAAATGAGTATATTTCTCCTCATGATGCGCGAAGAGCTTTTATCAGTGGATTTAATGGATCGGCTGGTACTGCTGTTGTGACTTCGAATAAAGCATTGATGTGGACAGACGGAAGATACTATCAACAAGCAGAAAAGGAAATGGATTCTAATTGGGAACTTATGAAGGATGGATTACCCTCTACACCAACTATTGGAAAGTGGATTTGCGATAATACACCTAACGGCAGTAGCATTGGTGTTGACCCTAAGCTTTTTTCTTATCGACAATGGAAGCCTATTCAAAAGGAGTTGAAATCTGCGGGTGAGCGCTAATAGATAAAACAACTTCTTTAAAAATAACTGCTGCGATACCAGATAGAAAATCTAGGGAAAACTTTAGTACAACGACCCAGGCTTTCAGGGATAAAATGGGTATGGGCGGATAGAGGAGATCCTCCAGACCAAGAATATATACACATATAGCCGCGGGAAACCTATGGTTTTCGAGATATTTTGGTTTAAAGTTCAAAATTTCGACTATTTTAAGTACGAATTTGGGTCGGCTTTAGAATAACGTCCCACGCTTTCGTGGATAAAATGGGTATGGGCGGATAGAGGAGATCCTCCAGATCAAGAATATATATAGATATAGCCGCGGGAAACTTATAGTTTTCGAGATATTTACGTTTAAAGTTGAAAATTTCAACTATTTAAAGTACTTATTTTTGCGATTTAAAATGAATTATACACTTATATTTTTCACTTTTATATCCACTAACACTTGACTAATTCGTTTTTAGAAATTTTTTTTATATTAAATGCTGCAAAAATAGCTTTATTTCAATATTTAAATCATTCTTCAATTTTATTAATTTTACCAGGGTTATTTTTTTGAAGCGCGGCCGAAGGCCGCCAACGCAAAAAGGAGTTCTGCGCAAAAAAACCTTGATACACCCCGGTGTTGGATCGACCAGGCTTATTTTTTTGAAGCGCGGCCGAAGGCCGCCAACGCAAAAAGGAAGTTCTGCGCGAAATATATTTTGATACACCCCGGTGTTGGACTGAACAGGGTTATTTTTTTTAAGCGCGGCCGAAGGCCGCCAACGCAAAAAGAAGTTCTACAAGAAAAAAGTAATATTGTCATAGAGGGTATAACATAATACTTAACATCAATGCTTTGTAATAGTTTATTTCTCTAGGTTTTGGATTCCTGTATTTGGGGTATTATCTGTTTAAATTTCTTTCAGTTCAATTACAAAAGATGTCGATAAGGTAACACTGGTTATTTCAAATTTTGCAACCCTTTTGTTATTGTCAGAATTAATAGAATTTAACAATAATTTAATTATTGAATTAAACTATTTTTGCATTATATAATGTAAAATAAATGTGTACAAACGAATTAGTGAAGTGTTAGTGTATATAAAAGTGGAAAATATAAGTGTATAACTCATTCGAAATGGGAAAAATGCGTACTTTAAATAGTCGAAATTTTGAACTTTAAACCCAAATATCTCGAAAACTATAAGTTTCCCGCGGCTATATCTGCATATATTCTTGATCTGGAGGATCTCCTCTCCGCCCATACCTATTTTATTCCCGAAAGCGTGGGACGTTATACTAAAGTTTTCACGAATTCGATTTCAAATGAATTATACACTTATATTTTCCACTTTTAGATCCACACTTCACTAATTGTTAAATTCTATTAATTCTGACAATAACAAAAGGGTTGCAAAATTTCCAAGTAACCAGTGTTACCTTATTGACATTTTTGTAATTGAACTGAAAGAAATTAAAACAGATAATACCCCAAATACAGGAATCCAATACCTAGAGAAATAAACTATTACAAAGCATTGATGTTAAGTATTATGTTATACCCTCTATGACAATTTTACATTTTTTGGGTGGGCTTTAGTTTAGCATCCCACGATTTCAGGGTTAAGAGGGGTATGGTTGGTTAGAGGAGATTCTCCAGATCACGAATATATATAATTATTGCCGCCGGAAACTAATAGTTTTCGAGATATTTGCATTTTAAGTTGAAAATTTCACAAATTTTATTTTACAATTTCTCGATTTATGGTTATCTTTTCTACATATTTATTTTTTTTATTAAATATTTAAGTATTTGCTTTAAATAAGCATTTAATTTTTACACATTTTCGTTATATGAACAATTACAAATGGGTTCCCTATTGACAGTTAACAAGTGTTGCCATATCTATTATATATAAATATATATATATCAGAGAACGTATATCGTGCGGAAAGAAGTTTGACGCGATTAAATTATGAACACCCCGGTGTTGAAACGACCAGGGTTATATTTTTAAAGCGCGGCCGAAGGCCGTCAGTGCAGAAAGGAGTTTGACGCGATTGAATTATTAACACCCCGGTGTTGGACCGACCAAGGTTATTTTTTTGAAGTGCGGCCGAAGGCCGCCAGTGCAAATAAGAAATTTTAACAAAAAAAAGTAATGTTAAAAAGGGTATATCACTCTCTATAAACTTCAATTTTTATTAAGGATAATTATAATAACTGAAGATTTTGAAAATTTGATATATGAATACATATGGCGTAAACATATAACAAATCAGCATCATGATCCATTTGTGAAATTATCAGATGCAATAAAACATACGTTTAAGCCATAAAACCTTTTTCTTTTATTAAAATGGAAAATTAAGTTCATAATATTTTATAGAGGGTGATAGGGTTTTTGTTAATTTATTTTGATTGCTTTCATTCGTTTGGATACGGCAACACTTATAACCTGACAACATGGAACCCATTTGTTATTGTTCATATTACGAAAATTGTGTAAAAATAAAATGCTTATTTAAAGCAAATATTTAAATATCTAATATAAAATAAATATGTAGAAACATTGTAGTGAAGTGTTAGTGTGTAATAAGTGCATAATATAAAAGAAGAGTTAACCTTAAATCGAGAAATTGTAAAATAAAATTTGTGAAATTTTCACTTAAAATGCAAATATCTCGAAAACTTTTCCGGCGGCAATAATTATATAATATATATTCGTGATCTGGAGAATCTCCTCTATCCAACCATACCCTTCTTAACCCTGAAATGGTGGGATGCTAAACTAAAGTTTTCCCCATTTTTTTGTAGAACTTCTTTTTGCGTTGGTGGCCTTCGTCCGCGCTTCAAAAAAAAAATAACCCTGGTCGGTCCAACACCGGGGTGTATCAAAATATTTTTCGCGCAGAACTTCTTTTTGCGTTGGGGGCCTTCGGCCGCGCTTTAAAAAAATAACCCTGGTCGGTCCAACACCGGGGTGTATCAAGGTTTTTTGCGCAGAACTCCTTTTTGCGTTGGCAGCTTTCGGCCGCGCTTCAAAAAAATAACCCTGGTCGATCCAACCCCGGGGTGTACCAAAGTTTTTACGCGCACAAATTCTTTTTGCGTTGTTTCCTGTATCTAGGGTACAGCATGGAACCCATTTGTTATTGTTCATATTACGAAAATTGTGTAAAAATAAAATGCTTATTTAAAGCAAATATTGAAATATTTAGTATAAAAAAAATATGAAGAAACATTGTAGTGAAGTGTTAGTGTGTAATAAGTGCATAATATAAAAGAAACGTTAACCATAAATCGAGAAATTGTAAAATAAAATTTGTGAAATTTTCAAGTTAAAATGCAAAAATGTCTAAAACTATAAGTTTCCGGCGGCAATAATTATATATATTCGTGATCTGGAGAATCTCCTCTATCCAACCATAGCCCTCTCAACCCTGAAATCGTGCGATGCTAAACTAAAGTTTTCCCGAAAATATGTTATGATATAAAAGTTTAAAATATTAGGGCAAAATTTATAAATCGGAAAACAGGGGGAAAACTTTAGAATACTGTCCCAGGATTTCGGTAATAAAATCGGTATGGGTGGATAGAAGAGATCCTCCAGATCAAGAATATGGTAAATGTATAGTTTAGGTCCCCCAACTAAGGAGGCCTCAGAAATGAAATTTCTTTTTTTTTTTAAATCGGTTTATTTTTACGCAAAGATTACAAATCCGTTAGCGGAAAGTGAATTTTTCAATAATTTACAAATATATTTAACGCACTTTGCACATATTTTTCACGTCACTTAGTTGTTGTAGCGGCAAAATTCTGCAGAATTCAGATCATTTAGCTGTAATTACCAGTTCAGCGAATTAAATTTTTTCTTGTGAAAAAAAAAAATTAAGAAATGTAACAGTAACAATATAGTATGGACGAATATCGGAGATTGTCGAACTCCTTTCCGCACTGGCGGCATTTGTCCGCGCTTCAAAACAATAACTCTGGTCGGTCCAACACCGAGGCGTTCAGAATTCAATAACGTCAAACTCCTTACCGTATTGGCGGCCTTTGGCCGCGCTTCAAAAAATATCCCTGTCCTGTCCAACACCGGGGTGTTCATCGCTCCTTTGCACCGAACTCCTTTCAGTAGGGGAAAAAATAAAAATTAATTTTAATGTATCACATTTTTTATTTTTATTGCAATTGTATTTAAAAAATCTAAAAACCGTTTTCTTTTTGGTTAAAAAAAAATTAAATTATTGAAAAATTCACTTTCCGCTCACGGATTTGTAATATTTGCGTCAAAATAAGATGATTTAAAAAAAAAATAATTTTTGAGGCCTCCTTAGTTGGGGACCTAAACTGTACATTTACTAAGAATTTAAATAGATATAGCCGCGAGAAACATTTAGAGATATTTGCGTTTAAAGGTGAAAAATTCAAATATTTAAAGTATCTCGTTTGTACATATTCATTTTACATTATAAAGAGCAAAAATAGCTTTATTTCAATATATAACTTATTGTTCAATTCTATTACTGCACACAATAACAAAAGAGTTGCAAAAGGACAAATAAGGACCAGAGTTACCTTATCGGCATCTATTGTAAATGAACTGAAAGAAATAAAGAAAACAAATTATACCCCAAATAAAATATTAAGAAATTATTCCAATATAATAAAACAAAATTGTGTACCTTGTTTAAAAAGTAGTAGTGGTAATATCCGATAGAGAACATTCATTTTAAAAATGATGTTATACCCTCTATGACAATATTATTGTTTCGCCTAGAACTCCTGTTTGCAATGGCGCCTTCCTCAATTGAAGGAAAATACTTAAGTGTTCCTATGACAGTCGGGTCAACGTAACCAGAGCGGACACGATTATGGGGTATCATATATCCTATATTTGGGGTATCATCTTTCTGTTTTATTTTATATTCTTAGTTTGCAAAATATGTTAGTATTATAACACTGGTTATATGTCATTTTGCAACCCCTTTCATTATTTGAATTCAAAGAATTGAACATTAAGTTAAATATTGAATCAAAGCTCTTTGTGCACTATATAATGTAAAATAAATGTGCACAAACGAATTAGTAAAGTGTTAGTCGACTTAAAAGTGAAAAATATAAGTGTAAAATTCATTTTAAATCGAAAAAATATTTTAACTTTAAATAGTTGAAATTTTCATCGTTAAACGCAAATATCCCGAAAACTATAAGTTTCCCGCGCTATATCAATATATATTCTTGTTTTGAAGGACCCCCTCTATCTGCCAATACCCATTTTATTCTAAAGCCGACCCAAAAAAGGTACTATAATAGTTGAGTTTTTGAACAATAAATGCAAATACCCAACAATTTTAGAATAGCATTCCCCGAATACAGGGTTAAAGTAGGTATGTACGTATAGAGGAGGTTCTCCAGATTAAGAAAATATATATATAATGTTTTCACAGACTTACGGTGTTTGAGATATTTGCATTAAAAGTTTGAAAATAAATTATTTAAAGTGTTTTTACAAATTTATTTAATATTAAATTATGCAAAAATAATTTTCATTCACCATTTAATATACATTGTGACCAGAAAGTTTCCTTAAAATTGTTATATAAACTGCCCGCGCTGCATATTTTTCAGCACTGTTTTTTTGTTAAGTTGGTAGTACTGCCCTTAATTACTATGCGATTTTTACAATGGAAAAATATATTGAACAAAGAATTTGCGGAATCGTTCCGAATGTTACAAAATACTTATGGTGAATCTATTTTCTCGAAAACCCAAATCTACGACTACATACCGATCAAACACACGTGTATGTCGTGTAAGGCCACCTAAAGATAAAATGCCAGAGTCTGATTTTTATTGCCTATTATAAATTGCGAATTAGACGACGACCTTCAGGCGAGAACTCTTTTTTCGGTCTTCTTCTGAATATACCTTGAGCAAAAAGCAAAGAGAAAATAGTTTGCAACTTATGGAAAATAGTAACTAATTAGGTAAATGAAAAAGAATATATTTAATTTTTCAAAAACTGATTTGTCGATGAACTGTTTCCATTCTCTTCAGAAATTTTTATTATCCTCATGAATTCTCTAAATGGTTCAAGAACCCAAACATGTGATTTTGTGAAGCTAACATATGCCAAAACAAATATATGTATAGCCACATAAAAGGCAATATATTTGACATGCGTTCGATCGGTATGTGCGCAAGTGAGAATTACTCGTGAATGGGCTGGTGTGCATACGAATCCATGTTAGTGAAAATTTTCGATTTTCTTCAATCGGTGTTCACACTGCGTCTGCGTAGTGTATGGGCTTGTATTCGCACAATTGGTTATTTGGAAAAAGTGACAAAATTAAAGTGGAATTGAAAAGATACAAATAAATGCTGGGATAATATATTGTCCAAATACAGTCAAATATATAAAAATGCTGTTATAATAAATTTATAGGCGAATTATAAAGAGTACAACTCATTTCCCATAACAGCCGGTTTTAAGCTACCGGAATTGACCCGGATTTTATCCGGCCAGGGTTGCTCCGTATCCTCCTGACCCGTGCTGGCATCGAGTCCAACCCGGGCCCCGAGGAATTCTTCTGCTGCATTTGCGCGAAAAGGCTCCATCCAAACTCCACCTCGGTTAGATGCAACACATGTAATGGATGGAGCCATCTTAAGACCTGTTCTGGCCTTAAGACTCATAAGGAGTGATCCACGAGTTACGTGGCCCCATGCTGCCAACGCACAACTACGACATCTGGCTCAACGGCTGTGCAATCTTCCCCATGTTCGCACACTTCGTCGCCACTCTAGTCGGGTGGCCAACAAGGGATCTCCTCCAATCCTCGTGCCAGAACCACTTCGAAACTCCTGGTTCCTCGCACAGTCTGTTCTCGGACTCCAGAGCAAAATCGAGGAGAAAGTTGCATTTATGAGCCGGCAATGTGTATCAATAGTTGTGCAGGTTTCAACGTTTTACGTAAGGATCGCGAGCGAGATAATGGTGAAGGCTTAGTCTTCATACTGCACAACACCGTGCAATATCGTCTAATCAATGGTGACATCGACCGCAGAGTTACTACCCTAGAATGTCAGTGTATAGCTATCCGTTCAGGCCATGTCGAGCTCGAGATGTTTAATATATACATCCCCCCAGTTGCATGTTGCCCAACGGGATATCACTTGAACATAGGTGCGCTAGTTTGTGGTGAAAACCGTTTGATGCTAGGCGACTTTAACGCGCACTACGATCTTTGGCACTGCTGTCTGTCCAACGATCGTAGGGGAATTGAGCTAGCGGAACAGATAGACGATTCGACACCTGTAATAACTCGCAAGGTATCATCGCCAACGGTGGTCTGATAAATAACATAACCTGGCGACGTATGCTAACTCTCGCATCAGAGCACTTGCCTATAACTATCTCAATCGAGAAACCTCGCGATTTTATTTCTGTGGACAACCGCACTTTTGTTAACTTTAGCAAAGCTAACTAGGTCGGCTTCACAGAATTTACCGAGAGCAACTTCGCCGCACTACCCATTCCTACGGACATCATCGTTGGCCGCTACCGCTCGCTTTATACGGGTGGAAGAATTTCAGAACTCCGCCCTCATTTCCCAGCCGAAACAGTTGTATTAGCCAACGATCCCTGTGATTCCCGAATTAGGGATCTCAATTTGGAGATTCGGCAAATAATAAACCAATATAATCGGACGAAATGGGTAGAGCTTTCGACTACTCAAGGCCTTGTCTAATCCGAGGAAACATGACGACCGGTTTGAAATTCAATTCGATGGCCATGCCTTCTCGAACCCGAGGGAGTGCGCGAGCTATTTCAGCAGGCAATTCTCACTGCACCATTCGGAAGACAAGACCATCGATGTGTTACCCGACGGCTGCGCCAAATGCCAAAAGACTGCGCGCCACTTACTTTCACCGATGGGAGGGTTCAGAGTGTTATCCACAAGGCAAAATCGTCCAAATCCATTAGCCCTGATGAAGTAAAAATGCTGATGCTAAAACATATAAGCTCGACGAGAGTAAGCTATCTCACCAAGGACCACAAGCTGTCGCTGACCACTTTTCTAATACCCGATGTGTGGAAAGTCGGAAGAGTGGTCCCACTACTGAAACCTGGGAACCCGCGAACAAAGGTGAGTCTTTTCGTCCGATAACTCTCCTGTAGTGAAGACACTTGAGGCCTTGCTACTCCCTACATTCACTCACCACCTGAGGCTACCAGTCCACCAGCATGGCTTCAGAAAAGTGCACAGCGCCAATAAGTGTCATAACCGCCCAGATACTTCATGGCGTAAACCAGAAGCCACCCTGTGAGAGGACGATCCGTTGGACATATCATAAGCTTTTGACACAGTCAATTATGCAACGCTACTCGAGGACATCAAACCATCCACGCTCCCTCCAGTCCTAAAGAGGTGGACTATGAACTATCTGAGCGGTCGGCATTTATCCGAACTGTTTCGAAGTCAAAATTCCAAGCTGAGAAGAATTAAACAGGGGGTTCCGCAGGGTGGTGTCCTCTTACCGCTACAGTTTACCTTCTACATCTTGAAACTCCCCCAACCACCAGATGGAATTTCCATGACCTCGTACGCTGACGACTGCACGATATTGACTTCGGGCAATGGAATCGATGGCATGTGCTCGAAAGTAAACGAAATCTAAACATTACAGTCGATGGCGTTTAATTCCGATGGTCAATAACCCTAAAATTTTAAGTAATAAATTTGACAGCTTATTCTCTTTCACTCCTCATACGACCGCGATAACTGCCGGCAGCTCATGGGGAAGAGACAAAGAAACGTTGTTGTTGTTGTTGTAACGGTTACTTAGTCCCCGTTTGGGTGATAAATTCCAGATTCGTTGTCGTCGAGGCCATCTAACGGGAGGCCCAGGAAACGAGCTATTTCGACGGGGTCGGACCATAGGGAGAAGGGTGTTAGATGGGTGGGGTTTGTTGGGCATGCAAAGAGGTGGTTAGTGTCATGCGGAGACTCATTTCACGCAGGACATGTGTTTAGTATGCCGGGGTCTATTCTGGATAAGTAGGAGTTTAACCTGCTACAATATCCGGAACGAAGTTGCGCGAGGGTCACTCTGGTTTCGCGAGGCAACTCGAGCTCTATGTCTGCTATGGGTGGTGGTTTGACTCCTATTACGTCATTCACTGAGAGGGAGTCTGTGAAGGTGTTGATGGCTCCACTGTGAATGGCGGTCAGTGTCTGTCTGAAGTTCGTTGCGTCCGAAGTCCGGTCGGGGTACTGTCTAATGTCGTCGACGTAGTCAAGGAAAGACCATTTGATGTTCCTAGGAGGCGGCTCCGCTACAGTCAGGCGACTACAGGGGTGGTTTCTACGAAAACACCCCAGTAGAAACTGCTTGGAGAGGAGTTCGTTGTGTTCCTTAACCGGAAGCATACGGGCCTCACTATGTAGGTGTTCGATTGGAGACATCAAGAGGTATCCCGTGATAGTTCGGAGTGCAGTGTTCTGACAGGTCTGAAGCTTCTTCTGCGTGTCACTGCATCCAGGCGACCATAGAATAGAATATAATAGATAGTGATTGAGGTATGCACCGCGACCTATGGTCTATTGTGCCCTCCCCTAAGTCACAGCGACTCATCTAGCCCTAGCGTATTGATGAACTCCAATATACTGCTAGGCGCCAATGAGGCGATGCGATCACTGTTTGGAAACATGGATCCCACGGCCTTGACTCTACGTCTGCAGACAGCTGTGCAGTCCATTAGTAGGTGTTCTGGGGTTTCCGACTCCATGTCGCAGAACCGGCAGTTTGCAGAGGAGACCAAGCCCATGTTAAATAAATGCTTGTTAAGCCTGCAATGTCCGGTGTAGAACCCGACCAGAAGTCGAAATTTGTTCCTCGGGAGATTGGTAACGGTTTTAAACCGTCTGAGGTTATAGCTCCCCAGTAGC